GTGCTTTGTGGACCTTGAAGTGCAGATTTCGTGGCAGGCGCAGTACTTTGTGGACCTTTCCCAGCTTGCGAAGCCCCATCCACCACGAAATCTGCACTTCAAGGCCCACAAAGTACTGCACCTGCCACTGCCACAAAATCTGCACCTCAAGGCCCACGAAGTAGTGCACCTGCCACAAGGTCCACAAAGTAAGGCACCTGCCACGAACTCTGCCCTGCCACGAAATGCGCACTTCAAGCTCCACGAAGTACTGCACCTGCTACGATTTCTGAAACGAGCGCATGTCCAAAAGTAACGATTCACTACACCTGCCACAAAATCAGAGTCCGCCTGCCACAAAACCTGTACATCGACATCAAGCTGCTCCGATCTCCTGCACCTGTCACGAAAAGTCGACTTTAGACCACCAAAACACGAGGTTTCCCTTGCGCCTGCCATGAAAAGTGATCACCAAGTCCAAAAATGCGCACGGGACGACAACGAGAGCGCACCTCCGTCAAGCACCGTCCCGGGGCCAGCGTTTCGAGCGACCCTGCGCAGAGAAATTGCACTTGGAAATCTCAGAACGGAACTTTTTTGCGAGCCTGCGCAGCCAAAACGCCCAGCTCAGAGAGCGCACCCTGATCGAACCCGGGCTTTTACACCTACCGTAAGAACCCTCAGTGTGGACACACTGTTTGGCGAATAAAGCTCATCCCCTCTCAAAATGTGTGGCAGAGTGGACATAGTTTCGGATCTATCAAAGGAATCATGATGCTCTTGAAACATAAGTCTCCGCCATCCCAGCAGATCGCACCTGCACCTCATCCTTGGCTAAGTTGGGTGGTAGGAGCAGATCAGTGGCTTCCCTGTCGTGGTCTCGCTGCGCGCAGAAGCTGCAACAGGATCCAAGAATGAAGGAAAAGAGCCAGTTCTCTGCAGCTGTGCGGTATCCAAATGTTTAGATTTCAGGGTCTGGTGGATCTTAAAACACATGTACGCACTATTTTATGTGGATTTCCCTCACAAGGTACATGCTCAGGGTCATATGAAGGAATGCGACGAAGGACGACAGCAGGGCTTGATAGTGGATTGCGACCTCCTCTGAACATCAAAGGCAGGATCTGTCCGCGGGTGGTTTTTTGCTCCCCCCTGGCCAAAAAAAAGAAAAGAATGGTATTTCGTGCCGATTCATGAGTGTTCATGGTGGGTCATCGCCCTGTCCTTAGGGCCGTCCCGGTCACTGTCTTGGCATCTCCGCCCGAAGAACTCGCCTCGCTCGCGCGAGCTCCAGCATCAGCGGAGCAAGGGCCTTGGTCTCTCTCGGCGAATAAGCTACAGTTCCGAGCGTTGACTTAATGGGTGGAATCCCGAAGGACCCTACTAGGAACAAGGACGCGACTACGGGCTCCTGGCCTTACTACTTAATAAAGCTACTACTATGGAAGCCACAGCCACAGACCTCGCTGGATTGAGGATTACTAAGGATTCTAGTGGCCGACCTCCATCTTTTCAGGACATCTTAAGAGGCCAGTGCCATCGAACCTGTGAAACCACTGCAAGGGTTCAAGCGGAACAAGCACGGGGATGAGTCCAAACCTGGAGCCGTGGTCCGCCATGTAGATTGACCTTCCAGCAAAATCAAGCAAGGTATCCTGGTTTTGACCCACAGCCACACCAGCTACAGTTCAACTCATGGTGTTGGAGATCGTGGTTTCTCGGCCCACACTGGACTCTCTACCACCAAGACACGAAGCACGTCTGCAAAGGCTTGACCGGTGGACGAAACCAACTGTGTTTGATCTTGAAAGGGACTTTGCAGACGGAAGAAACGATGGAACACATGGTGTCTGGCTTGCAAAACCGCTGCAATGCCTGCAGGTCAGGAACGGAGTGCGGTCATACAAAAACAGTACTCAATGGTCAGACTGGACTGGTACTGTAGGGAATGCCTCTCGCTCACTTTGCAACTCTCCTCCATTCGCACCCGACGAAAAAAACCATCCAACCACATCCTGAGCCGCCAACCGCTTCAGCTGCGCTCAAGAGTAAGCCACCACAGCGCCGGGCCTGCCCAGTCACCCCCCCAGCCCGCAGCGGACGGCGAGGTTGTTGGAAAGAAAAGACCACAGGCTATTGCTGTTCCTTCTGGTGGTCTTTAGACCCACTGATCTCTGCCCTTTCAAATCCTCCCAAAATGGAAGACCCTCAGTTGGGATTCCGGATGTGTTTATTGTAGCGAAGGGGTCAGTATATGTTGTATGGAGGGATAGGACCTTAGGAAATCCTCCTCGTCTTCCAACAAATCTGGATCCCACAAGCGGCAGCACTTCATAGAGGACATCCCACTTCGAATGAAAAACTTTGAGTTAGCTGTAAGAAGTCAAGCACGTCATGAAGTTTGTCCGTTTCTCCACAACCAAAGAGGAGGCTGGTACATGTCTCACTTGGCTCTGGGATCAGAACCCTGCAGCACCTGTAGTTTCACGTCCTCACCATGAACTGAGTCATCTGCCGAAAAATCTTCACCCACCGACTTGGTCGCGGTTTTGGATGCTTAGATTTGATCCAGATTGGGAACCAGGTTCAGGATTCTTCAGGAAGAAATCCGCAACACCATCTCCAAATCGACCTAGAAGGAGAAATCCGGAACCAAAGGACCCTGGAAGGAACGAATGAGAGAGAGAGAGAGACAGAGAGCGAGAGAGAGAGAGAGAAAATAGAAAGATCATGAGACTCATGAGATATGAACCGTTTTTTCGTACGACCCTTCGGGGATTCCTCTCGGACCGACTTTCTCAGCGAGAGAAGGCCTCTTGCAGCTGCAGCTGCGAGGTGGTCAACTTCTGGTGGACCTCATGGTACTGTGCCTGCGCTCACAGAGCTCAAGTGGCTTAGCTCTGGGGTGAACATCCGATTGTAGCGCGATGTGCCGCCTGCGGTAAGCGGGGTCGACCCGGTGAGGGACCCACCCATTTCGAGCAGGTAAACACCCCAAGCATCCCAAGCTGGTAAAGCTGCTCAAGACAACACACTGCCAGTCACACCACAGGACAAAACCGTTCACGTGTCCAACAGCATCTCAGGTGCAACAAATCTCCTGTCAGTCAATCAGGGTTGACTCCTTGCTCTGCAAATTCATCAAGAAAACCTCAAAGCACCATTGCTGAAGGCCCAAAGAATGCCTTGAAGGCCCTGAAGGCCAAAGTCCAGAAATATGGAGACCCAAAGGCCCCGAATCGTCGCATGTTTCTGTGCTTCCCCAAAAAAGTTCCTCGTCCCTCGCACCTCCACGTCCGCCAGCTGCTCCCGCAGCTCCTGCGAAGACGGAGGCGTCAGGGTCTGACTCGAAGGAAGACGGACAGGTCCAGGATGAGGTGTGGGATCGGCCACGGTCCGCGCCCAGACCTGCCCACCACGGAAAACGTCGGGATTTGGAGGGGTCTGGAGTTCCGAACATGGGTTCCAAAGCACGGGTTTCCATGCGACTCCAAGGACACCTGTTTGGCAATTCGTTCTCTGCGTGGCGCATGAAAATGGCCAAAAGACTCCTGGACTCGAAAAATGGTACCAAGCTGCCTGAGTCATGTAGACTCTTGACAAGAGGTTCATCAATCCCAACGGAGGGGGATTATTGATAAAGAGAATCAAGAGTCTACACTGCTGAGTCACTACTGAGGCTTTCACCGAGCAGCTCCCTCAAGAGTTGGAATAGAATCTGCATCTTCGGTAGAATGGGCATCTATTTCACTGAGAGTTACATCCATGTTTGCTCGACCAGTTCCACAGACCCACCTCCTCTGTAAGAGCATCATCCGCCATCGCTGGCTGAGCCCAACGGCCGGAGGACAAACGGGAAAGCGGTGCTGGTCGTCGGCGATTGGTTCGCCGAAACAAATCGACTTCGGAATAGAAACAAATAGACTTCCCGCAGCTCACCCTTTGGAAAATCTCAGGGATTGCATGTGCCAGCGTGCTCGTGGATGATGACTCAAGGGTAGATGCTCCATCCATAGCCCAGGCAGCTTGTCAGCCAATCGTCAACAACCAACCGCCCTTGTGTAGTCCTGTTGTAAACTACTTGTGGAAAGGACAGGAATAAGCAAACGTTGAAAGCAAACACTCTGCAAGTCTGTGAGTGGTGAGTTATATCCTATCAACGCTTGTTACAACCATGTATAGCAGTATTCTGCTTGGACCCCTCTTTTGCTGCGCATTAACGTCCGCTTGCAGCTTGTGTTTCAAATTGGCACATCAAGCGAGTTGTGGCCTCCATTCGCGGTACCCGGGAACTGGTCACCGGTTGGGAATGAAACATATTCATTTTTGCAAGCACGGCCATAGTGGTAGCAGTAGTTCTGTAAGAAGGGCGAAAGTGAATCTGGCTCACTGGCAGCAAGGAACCCTTGGCTAAGGGGCGTGGTGATGGAATGACTGGTTCTTCAATTCGCCTCACAGGACATTGGTTTTAACAACACTCCTCCGCCCGCATGCTCATCTGGCAGCGCAACGAAAGCTTTCATAGAGCTTTCAGGCGAAGAGCGAGCGAAGACGCACTGACCCTTTGGCCAGAGGAGGCTACATGCTCGAACTACTCTAAAAGGCTGAGTCCCAATTGGCAGACTTTCTGTCTCACCTGAACCCGCTTTGGTGGGTAAAGTGGTTGATCTTGCTCAACCAGGGCTAATCAAACCAAACGAAAGAACAAGTGCTGATTTGCGACTCGCCACGAAAAGAAGAACCCAGCCGGCATCGCCATTGAATTCCCGAAGAACGCACCACCTAGGTGAAAACGTGGAGAGGAACGTGCAGTCGTTCGGGGTTGAGTGGAAAACCACAGGAGGGGTGGCCACAGAACTGCAGAATGGGTTCTGTCACTCACGTCGATCCCGCAGAACCTATCAACCAAACCCACCCTGTCCATCCACCCATCACATCATCACCAAGCCCAAACCATCACCCCATCCAAACTCCCAGGTCTCGGGCGCGCCCCGCCCCGCCCGAGGCCGGGCTCCACACCGTCACGCAGCCGGGCGCGGTTCGGTCTTGGGGCCTCGAGAGAGAGACCGGAAAGCATCCAATGGACACGAGTATGCATCAGCCACCAAACCGAACCACCTAAAATACATATATATATATATATATGCATGAATATGTCTATAGTTATTATATACTGTGTAACTGTTAACTATTCTTTTTACAGTAATATTTTAGATATCTATTTACATATGATTCATATGATGTAGGGATACAGAAATCTGGCACCTGACAGAAAATAATGTGTTCGTTGGATTCGTCCAGCAAAATAGAATCATGTCTTTTGTTCATGGAGTCATTTCTTGCCACACGAAGACCATTTCAGGAGCATGCTCTCTGTCTCTTTCCGGTATTTGCAGTAGATGGAAATACCGGCCTTGTCAAGAACTCACCTAGAAACTGACAGACCATCCTGAGCTTCAAGAAAAAGTATATCCTTTCCCACCGCTGGCCATCTTCCTGTACTTGACAGACACGTGTTATCTCTTCGGACACCAAAAAGCAGTCACCGGTCGTGCGACCTTTTCGGGTCCAACCATGGCATAGAAACAAGTGCCACGCTAGTAGTAACAAGTGCCTTACTAGTAGTAACAAGAAGCTACTAGGAACAAGTGCATCGCTTCTAGTAACAAGTGCCTTACTAGTAGTTTTGGGTCGCCAACGAACACATGGCGCGGTCGTCAAAGAGCGCGGTCGTCAGCCCATGTGAACCGAAGCATCGAGTATCACCTGGCTCCCAAACCTCCCATACCAGCGATTCCCTGAACCAACGTCGGCCATCAACGGAACAAAGGCTGACCCACCAAGATTGGACTGCCTTCAACCTACTTTGCTTCTTCGGTGCTCGATCGTGCGCAAACACTCCACCCACCACTCAACCCCTGCCCGGACAGGGCAGGTATGGGACGGTACATGTACAAAAGAAATGGAACTTACCTTTAGGGGGAGTTAGACGCACGGCCAAAGGGTTCATCGCAGCGGGGTCTGCACTAGCACCACGCGCAGGGAACGCCTGGTTCAGAACCGCACCTCGTGAAGAAGAGATCTGCTGGCTGGTTTGGCCCAAGGCAGCCTTGAAGGGCCGGACTGTCCCATTTCCATGTTGCCACATGTAGTGTAAAATGAACCAGGCATGTTGCCATCTGTGGTTTGCCCAAAAGAGTCTTTCCACTTTCCACCTTTCTTGTTTTTTTTGCTTTGACCGACTCCACACCCAACAAAAACAACGAAGGGTTGTCCACCCCCCCCTTATGGTAGAGGAAAAGAGTCTTTCAAGGCACCATTCTCCACTTTCATCGTTCGACGGAGGCGAAGTGTTTTTGTGAAAAAGACAATGTCCATTGGTCATTGGTCCATCTCCATTTCGCAAACCTCCAAAGTTGCCTTCAAGCCATGGGGAACTGGAGCTGCCTGGTCCTTTCAATATCAAAGCCTAAGTCCTCATCCAAGCCGATCCATGTGCCGAACCAAAAATGGCCGATTTCGGAGGAAGAACCTGCTGAAAGGTCGACTCCTCTGATCTTGAAGAGGCAAGTTGCTGACTTCAAGCTAAGGCTTAACAAGAAGCTAGTAGAAACAAGTGCCACGCTAGTAGTAACAGGTGCCTTACTAGTAGTAACAAGAAGCTAGTAGAAGCTAAGGCTTGCTCTGAACTTCCGAGAGTTGGGCAGTTCCGCTTCGGTGTCGAATCCAACGGTCGCAGAGACCGCACCTCCAACTCCTCGTAGGCATTGCGCTGCACTGTTTGAGTGTTCTGCAACCTGGCGCCAAACAGCGGCAAACGAGTCCCCGCGGGCAGCGCAGCTTGTCCTCCCTTTGTGATAGGACAGAACGCTACAAAGTTCACCGCTACCAAACACGAGGTAGTGAAGCCCCCTATGTTTGCCGTGGAGGAGAGTTTCCGATAAAAGAACGAATGGCAAGGGGCAAGAGACCAAAAAGCTTCAGGATCTAAGCAAATCTTTGAATCACCATTGACCCCAATGCTCCATCGACATGTCCTGGCCGAAAAGAACACAAGGCGCTTCTTGAACACATGTCCGAACGATCTTGACCGAGGAGATCGCTTCGGGCTGGCGGTATGATCGATCCTTTGGATCGACACCGTTGTCCCAGAATCGCTCCCACCAGGTTGAATCCGCCCCGGTTGAAAGATCCTCGTCCAGGAGAAACTCCGGAAAAGAAGCAGGAAAACACATCGAAACAGGAAAAAACATCGAAATACAAACAGGAGACCCCCAAAAAACGACCAAACAAACATCCTTACTATATAAACTCTTTTTCGACTCTGCTCGTCATGTTCTGCTCCGGTCACCTCTGGATGAGCTCCATCTCCTCTTTCTCCATCTTCGCCACCAGAGCGTCCGTGCCTCACAACTTTGGGATTCGACCCATAGACACCATCCCTGCCGCGTCCGAAGCAGTACAGTAAGGCGTGGTTGCATCGGTCCTGGTTGAGAGAACTGGGGAATCAAGTCCTATCCACCGGCTGACTTAGGAAACCACAAGCTAAATAAAAATGTAAGAAGCCTTGGGATAGAAAATTCTCTTAAAGAGGTCTTGAGAGTCTTGAAGGGACGAAAAAGGAGCTCATCTTTATAACAGTGCAATCTCCTCGTGCTAATTGGAAAAGACATCGAACATTTTCACGCCGAGGGCTCCCGCGGGCACGCAGCATCTCCTCTTGCGCTGCACGGGCCTCACGCGAGCGCCGAAGCAGGACACAAGGAAGAAACATGTACAGTATTGTGTTTTAGATTGTTTTAGCGTCTCTCTTTTACCATGGAGGGTGCTCTGGAGCCATGCCCAAAGAACTCTCTGTCGGCATCCTTCACATGCGATCAGTGTAATCACCGGTCTCAAGTCAAACAAGGCCTCTCTCCCAGTCCAAAAAGACACGTAATTGCAAAATGCTGTCTTAGTTTCGGTTTGGAGTGGGGGGGGAACCTCTTCTAAAGCAAAATCCATCCGGTCGCTCTTCCAGGTCAAGACCTCTCAGCCAAGCGGGGACTGGAGGGGGTTCACAGGGGGTCGCCGTGCCAAGGTCGGGTGCAGGGCACCATGGGGCTCGTCGTTTTTCCCAAAACATCGACGTGCCTGGCCCAGTGGGTATCGCTCCCCGCGATCCCCGAACCCGCTCCCATGGAGCTCCCATGAGCTGGTCGATGGAGCTACAGCAGTTCGGGTCGATGTGCCCTGCGGATTCCGTGACTGGTTCCGCCCGAATCCAAAGCGGAGCCCGGTGGGACTTCCAAACATGGTCCCAACATGCTCCGCATGCTCTGTTCCCGCACCAAAGCAAACTTGGAACCTCGCCCGCTTGTCATTATCCAACCCAGGCATCCAAGCACAAGTAATGTCTGTCCAATTCACTCATAAAAATTAGTGTGGAAAACGGGAGAATGGCCCCTAACAAGGATGACCCGTCAACATACCAATGCTTTTCCACTTCCTCGGGTCACTTGCCCCCTGCGTCGCCCTTCCTCAGCTCGGCCTCGTAGTCCTCGCGATACTTTTCGAGCTGCGCCATGCGCTCCTCTTCCATCCGGCGCTTGGCCTGAACGCATGCTGGAGGAGTGGTGTTGAACATTGCACTAAATCAGGTGATATTGGTGTATCCTGTATCCCAGTGGTACCACCACTATCATGAACTTTATTTGTGTATCCTAGTGGTACCACCCGGTACCACCTCTATCAGGATGTTGATTTACCCTGCTATAGACCTGTGTGGTGGTATGGGAGTGGCATAGGTGAAATCCTTATGGCAGTTATCCTTGCGAAGACTCCTCTTGGTGCTTGCTCGAGGGGGAAAACAAATTGGTACCTGTCAAAAATAGGGAGACCTGCCAGTTCGATCCCCTGGAAGGTTCGGAAAACAAAGCAGTCTACCCAGCCAGGGGCGATCGGGAGTCTTCCTATGAAAACACACCCAAATGCTCCATTCAGCACGCACCACTTTGGATCGGAAATTTGACCGAAGAACCAGTAACAAGGCCTGTGATGGGAAACCTGGCGACTGGGGTGAAGGCCTAGTTATCTTTTTAAACTTTGCTCTTCATGCTTGCTGATTTGTACGAGGTCGTACGATCTTCTCGCCACTGGCCCAAAGAACTCGAAAACGCCTTAGTAGCATAGTCCGACTCCTCTTACAGGGGTTCCTGAGTGGGGTCGAGACTCTGGTTGAGCATTCTGAAACTGAAGCAGCTACAAATATCCTTCGGATGGTGTCTGGCATGTTAGGGACACGGTCAGGTGGCAAAACTGCAACCTGAGCAAACCTTGACAGGTTCTTGGTTTCAAGTCAACAACCCAAGCCCAAGCCCATCTACCTGGACAATATCGACGGGTGGTGGTCATGGCAATGCCGCTACCGACGCCAAGCAGAAGCAACAAAGGCCTCGTCTTTCCTCTGCTTCAAATACGACGACCTCAGCGAATCAAGGAAATGGCCGGTCGGCGCGGCGAACGCTTTTTTGCTGATTGAGCCGGAGAAATGTGGGATGCCCTCCTTCAGCAGCAAAAAAGGGCAGGAGTTTCGCAACACCACTTCAACCCAGCCTACATTCAAGACACCCTCCAAAAAACTGACATGGTGAGGATAAAACTTCACCCAATTGGCCAGCGGCCACTGACCCTGTTGAAGCCATCTTCCCTTACCACTCTCAGAACGAGTCAGTCTACCTTGAACCCCGGCCATATTTCAGCCCAGTAGGTTAGAGTTGGTTGGAGCGTTCAACAAGATTTGAGTGTTTGATTATTTGCCATTCCCACTGCCTCTAAAAATGGAGATGCGAATGACTAGCGCGGCTCTATATCAAGCAGTATCAGTGAAGTTCTTTCAACGGCCACTGATGATGATGACTTCTTTCTTCAGTGACTTCTTTCTTCTTTCTTTCCTCAGTGACTACGGTGGCTATAGGAGACCAAGGCAGCCGTGGAGAACAACAACTCTTCCAAAAGCCCGGAAGGCTTCCAGAAGAACTCGATTGCAGGCGCAGCAGTTCTGATGCTCTTTCCAACTCTTTCCTCACTTGAGACAGAAAGGCCATCAATCTTGTATGACGATATGGGTGGGAGAAAGGCCAAAACACCCAGTCTGGGGACACGTGCCGTTCCAGATTCGCCTGACGCTCGGCCTCAGGGACTGGGGACTGTTGGCGACTCGCCGTCGCCCACCAGATCAAGTCATGGACTCAATCCTTCCTGTGTCGTTGGACTCTAAGGAAACATTGAGGTGCCCCAAAGCTACTTTTCTCCCGTTAGCGTGCAAGTTCTGAAAACCAGTGCTGCCATCTTCAGGTTGTGACGTCCTGATCTGGAAAAGAAGACACCAGGTGCCAGGTATCCGACTGGTTGTGACGTATCACCCAGGCGCTCATGGACCCTCCGTTCAGTGGGGGCTGGACCCGAATCCCCTGAGGGGTCTGCAATCTCAGATCCCTATGGTTTTGAGGGATCAAGGTCTGTTTGGAACGCTTGGGCAATACCCGTCAGTACCCGACTCATCAAGGCAACGGACCGACAAGCCGTGTCTTGGCTCCACCGATGGGTTGCCCGGGCAAAGATCAGGGCAGCTTGTTCATTGGAGGGGCTGAAATCGGTGGTTTGGCTTGGTACCACCAATACCACCATACTTTGGTCTATCCTATTGCATCCTATTGCCAGTGCCAGTGGATGATGATGGTTACTAAAGGCCTTTCTCAAAAATTGTGATAATTGTTTACGGACTGTTACAGGTAATAGGACAGACCCAAACCATACTAGCATAATGGGAATGGGTGAAGCATGGCCTCATCCGCCGGCTGGATCCATTCCTGCTTGGTCAGGGCTCCCCACCGCCTCACGCTCCTGGCTCAAACATGATCAACCAGCAGGGCTGGTCTGGTGTTTCTGAGTGAACTCCGATGAGCTTCTAGGTGTAAGTCTTAACCAAGCGACAGTCATTGGATGGACTGCTACAAATCGCTGTCGATCAGATCGAGCTTCAAAGGATTTCCTCGCAAACTTCAATCCCGCATCTTCCCCAAGATTCTCAAGTCCCATCCTTAAAGTAGCTCAGGTGGTACAAAGCTTCGCCGTGTGATATGGGAATGCAGGTGTTTGGAACATGTATCAGTTCTGTGTTTTGATTCTCCTTCCTCTTACATATGTTTGGGCACCACCATGCCTCACCTAGGTCACCCATTATAGGGCCCACCGTTGTAGGACCCACCGGATGGGCCCTCCATGAGGGCCAATCTCTACGATGGTTCTTTCAACTGGCCTTCGTTGCCATTCCCCCTGCTCTAGCAATACTCCTGAGCACATGTAACCTGGCAACCAAACACGCTGCCATCGCTCCTCCTCAGGCCATCTCTCTCTCTCTCTCTCACCGCTCACGCGCTTCCGGTCTCCACGGACCTCCCCGGTCGCGTCGGACACACTTCGGAAGATTCGCTGACTCAGCCAGCCACACTGCCTCCCCATCAGCTTTGAGGAAAGTGATCAACAACTGCACCCTAAAAACGATGGAACGCGATGGAACGCTACCCCATGATGTCTAAATCCTCAATCCTGACATCAATCCTCATGGATCCTTCCATCCGGCAGAGTCCCATGGCTCCACCCAGTCGGTTGTTGATCTGCCCTCAGCCATTGGTGATGGCGTCCTGGATCTCAGTCCATTGGACCACCTTCGGGCCCTCAGCCTCTAGATCCAGGCTAATCTGAACACGAGCGCCGGGTGCAGCAGTGATGGACCAGTTGAGGCCATGCCCACGGTTGTCCTGAACGACCGGAGGAGTGAGGCACGGCGAGTTGGTGAGAGCTGCAGTTCGAAGCAGCGCTGTACGAGGTTCGAAGCGCGGTTCGAAGGGTGGTTGCAGGTCGTTGCAGATATTGTGGCAGGTTCGGGTGGGTGCAGTGGAGGTTTCGGCGGCAAAATCTCATCTATTGCACTTTCTATCAAGGCTCAACCCCGTGTCCTAGAGTTGTTCTATAGTCTATGTATATTATATATATATACACTGACTCTACAGGAAGATCTATAGAAAGTGTACATTCCTCCCATGATTCACTGGAAGCAGCCGTTTGGGGGAGGTCCACAGTCTCATGAAATGCACTGACAAGTGCCAGGATGTTCCATATTCTTCCGAAGCTTTCACCCTTTTTGCCAGGTCCTCACTGGGTATTGTCAAGGACGTGTATAACTACAGCACCTTGCCAACTCACGCCCACTAGCAAGAACCAAATCTGTTCCCCCCCTCTGCTTCGTCGGGATTGGTCGGAACCAAGTCGCGGGGCCACAAACATAGGCCTCCCCCAAGGCAGCCTTTGGCTTGTTCGGGTAGAGGCGTCGGTGCGAGTCCTTCAAAGGATTCCTGAACGAAGGAGGCTTGGCATCGTTCGGGAGACGCCAGGGATGGGAGTTGCACCAACGTACCGAGCGACGAGTTGCACGCCCAAGGGCAAGACTTTCTTCACGAGGACAGTCATGAGGAGTCAAACTGTTAGACATGCTCTGTTTTCCGGAAGACTCAAAAGCAAAAAAGGAGACGATCTGATCTTTTTGGAAGACGTCACTCGTCCGGAAGACTCAAAAGCAGAAAAGGAGGCGATCTGATAATTTTTGGAAGACGTCACTCGTCCCACCTCACTACTCGACCAATGACCTTCAGGTGACAATGTTAGGACCAAAAAAAGCATAGGGATGACCCACAAAACCGGCGGTCCCTGTCCTATTCATTGAATGTGCCTGGTGCTGCAAACCACTTCATACGGTTTTACGAGCACCAAGATCCCCCCCTAACATTCAAACAGACAAACATCCCAGCCAGCTTGGAAGGTACAATATCCAGTCATCCGACCAGCTTCATCGGCGGCAGCCACTTGGAGGGGCCACTGAGCTGGTGTTCAAGGCCCCAATCATCCAGCACCAGCTGGAATTCGGCCACTCCATCACTTCCCATCAGTAGCTCGTATTGGAAGACGGGAGAACTCGTGGACGGTTCCACCTCCTGCAGAGTCTGCGGTGGTGTTCATGTCTTGGAAGTTGCTATGGAAGTGCTGGACTTTTCATTGCAAACACAAAAGACCCACTTTATGGTCATCGTCTAGGGGAAGTGGAATCGAAAAAAATGTAACTTTCCTGATCGTGGGGTTGTTCCATATATTTCCATATTATATACATCTACTGGGGGGTGATATTTTTGACGTGATCAGAAACTGGAAGACTGCCAAAACTCCACAGGTTGTTCATGCGTTCATGGACCTGTCGGGTTCTGTTGGTATCGTGCCCCTTTGTCACGTGTATAACTGGGACATAAGTCTGCGTCACGTAATTGGTTCATTTACAGTGAACAGTATATGAGATGAGTGGTGTAGCACAAGTGGCTGATATGTCGGGGCCAAAAAGCGCTCACAAATTGCCTGGATGAAAGCATGGTAGCTGGTTGTTGCGAAAGTGCTACATTGTAGCTTCTACTAGTACATATACAGTGCAGTACATGAAATACCACTCCTACAGCTTGGAAAAGGAGTAGCAAATGCCGCGCATGACCTCTAGTTGTTTGATATCCCATTGAGCAACTACGAACTTGCCATCAAAGAAAGAATGACCTGGAGTTGTACTCAAGAGGCAAAGTGATAATTCCATGTAGTTCCCAAATACCTTCCCTTTGTGAACTAATGACCTCATGGTTTGGACCCCAAGCCCCCCAAGCCTTTTCCGAAAGCACTGACAACCAGTGGCGGTCCAAAATGGTTAAATCGAAGACTTGGTTGAAGACCTGGTGCTCCAGGTTCACCATGGTTCACTGGTGGGCGGTCGGTCTCCTGCGACCGCTGTGTGTGACTGGACCCCCTTCACCTGGCTCACACCTGACCCCGCCTGTGCTTGGTCGCCCAAGCGCGGAGCCTTCTTCATGACATCAAAGCCCCAGTTATTCCAAGAGCCGGAGATCAGGAAGACCGGCTCCTGCAGCAACAGCCGGGCTGCTCAGTGTGAACACCGGGGAAATACTGAAAGGCTCTGTAATGTAGACTCTTGATTGTACAACCGGCCTTTTGGATTGTAAAAACTCTTCATATCAAAAAAATAAAAGTGATGAATCAAGAGTCTACATTAGGGAATTGATGGGAAAGTGTCATCCAGGTTTCCAGATCCCTTCCGAACTGAAGGAAGGGTCGCCGTCGCCGTTCCGCCTACGCTTACCCCTCCGCTCGATTCAACAAGGCGCGGAGCCGTCCTCTTTGGGCCCGGTCGAGGAGGTCCAAGTTTGGACACCGCTCTCAGCGCTGCAGGTCGTCATGGTGATCTCACCATCCACCACCCGCAGCTGGATGGTGACCACCTAGATCGGAGTCCGAAAACGGTGCCGGGTAAGAGGGTTCCGGAGGGGTCCATCCCAGCCCTCTTTTCTCTGTCGGGGGTGGTTCCCACACGTTTGTACAAACCAGCCAGTTGTGACATTTGTTGCACAGAAAGCACGTTTCTGAGGCTGTTCACAGGAAACATGAAGAGTACGCTCCTGGAACATGGTCCCAATGGCTTCAGAATTGCTTTGCAACCGAGACGAATCTTCCACAAATCTACATTAATTATTATGGTTCATGTGAGTTTTCGGACAAAACACAAGGATCTCTATAGGGAGTCGTCAAACTGGAGAAATTGATTGAAACGCAAACTCAGCGGTTTCTTGACCGGAGAATAGGATTCTCCTGAATCTCTTCCTGCAATTCAAACACCCTTCCGCCCCACAATTCCTTGGTAACTAGCTCTTGCCTCATTGCTCTTGCCCTGCAGTAGCCAATTCCTCCCAGAGCGGCAGGATTCTGCAAACAATCACCGACAAACATGCATGGGCGTTCGTCTATGCACGTGCTTTTCTGCCAGTGCATTTCTTGTGAATCCATTGCTTGCAAACGAAAAGCCACCCCACCATTCAATCTGATCCTGCCTTCCATGGCCCAAATGGTCGGGGCCCATGATGGGTATCTCTGTGCGTGTCACACGGCTGGCTGCCGGGTGGATGACCTGTACGAGAGAAAACAGAGCAGCGAACCCGCTCGGAGCACACCTCGTCGTAGAATGGACGGGTGATCAAGCTTTGTCGTTGGAACGGCCATCAAAATGGAAGAACTCTGTGCACCTTCCGCCTGCTGAGAGAACCTGAAGTTCTGCTCCACATATGACAAAGATTCAAAACTTATTGCTCTTATTCAACTAAAATGGGCCTCATCGGTTTTGAGCCCCTCTCTACGAAAATGATCTGTTTCTATCGTTGGCTCACATGATATATGTACAGTCTATGTATATATATATATATATCTGTGTGTGTGTGTGTGCATCCCACCTCACGTTGCATGCTGTGTACAAAAAGACACTGTGACCACTTGAGAGAGGAGGGAGTGAACGAAAGGTAGCAGGCAATCACAAGCAACCCTGGTAAAAGTCCATGACGGCGTGAACCGGCGCACGGGGGATTTGATCCAGGGGGGGGGCAAACTCAATGCACAATCCCAACTCCTGATTGTAATACAGTTTTGCTAAAGCAAGGAGAACTCAGGTAGCTCAAGCTACCTTTCGTGACATGGCTGTGGGTCAAAACCTGGACCTCTAATCCCTGGTAGGTTGACCTCCCGTAGGTCGGCTAAATTCTGTTCACTCTCTGTTGGCCCAAGCTCCGGGCCTGGCACCAATCTCGGTCGCGCACAAACTGAAACTCCTCCTGCCCTGACAAGCCCAAGCGAACTGAGGTGCTCCAAAGACCCTCCTCCTGGGGAACTTCGCGCAAGTCCGACGGGGGACAGCGAGGACGAGGGCGAGGACTTTGAGGGCGAGTCTGTTGAAAGTAAGACGAAGTTGTAGGCCTGCCGGGCCTGGTAGGCCCGCTAGGCAAAATCCTCTCATATCTCGAGGGAGAGGTGCAACTTACAACAACACGTGCAGTTGCTGTCACGTTGCAGGTCCTGGTAAGAAAGTAGGTGGTCCAGTTGAAATCTATTTCACGTCAGGCCAGTGGAATGATGGAGTTGTCTGCCCCGCTCCGAATCGGCGCATACACCAATCGGTCCCATCCATTGGTCCACCCCGCCACCCCTCCATTGGCAGCTCCTCATGGCTTCGAACCATTTCTTGGCACTTCCAAGCAGTCCAACTACCTACCACGCACGCCGAGTTCTCTAAGGAAGCAACAGTTTCATTCCAGCAAGAGGAAGCTTTGCAGCAGGCAGTGCTTCACTTTCATGTGTGTTTCCGACATACCGCGGATGAGCTGGTCATTCGCCACTGGCCGCCAGAACCGCAATAGAACCCGCTTTCTTCTTGGATTAAAACATGTCGATCCGACGCAGAATGTCAAGGGGTCTGGTCACCACCTCGATCCGCCACCGATGGGACGAAACCATCGGACAGCCTACCAACGGCCGAAAAGCCCAACCTGCCTGCAACAGAGTAGGAGTGGTTGAAACTTGAGAAGCTTCGTGGAGCGTCGCTGCCAGCCGGTTGCCAGGTCACAATCCTCCGAGGGATCCGTGCGTGGCGGGTTGGAGAATCTCGAAGGTCTCCCGGATGGCTTTTCTGAGCAAAATATCCCAAGTTCCAGGGTAGGATGCATCGAAATCGCCTAAATCCCAAAATGGAGCCCTGTCGAAAACCTGTAGTGTCTACCCGGTCCAAAAACGGGAAAAAAACAAAACAGCAAAGCTCTGTCAGGCCACAGAAGCCAGACGTCTTGGGTGCCCCTCCCAAAAGCTTGCCGAAAGGTCGATACCAGCACCGGTCACCCGCGTCCTGTACTCTCCTCTCTCCCAGCTGAAGCCCCACTCCAGCTTCACCACGTAGTTGGCCCCGGCACCACCACCATCCAGTAACCTGGGGGCGAACAGCGACGCTTGAGGACCCGGACACGAAGGCACGGGTGTGGCCCTTGACCTCGATGGGGTGCTTCTGGTCCATCCCATCCATCACCATTTCACAAGAGAGATACATACTTGCTCCCTCACAAACACAACAGTCACCAAAAAGCAATTCTGGAAATGACAGAAGATCCGTATAGATCCGTGTAGATATGTAATATATATATATATATAGTTTAAATAGATCATCTATGTGGTCGCCACCTCTCCCATTCCCGGTCGAAAAGAACTGCACGGACCTGTCCGTGGTGTTTCAACACCACCGAGCGGCCCATCGATGAGCCAACTGGCTGCCTTGCCCTTTCTGTCCGGACCCAAGGCGATGCTCCTGGGACCCGCCAACGCTTGGCCCGGGTGGATGATCTGATTGGGATCCTGGCGGCGCTGCGCTTGGCGGCGCTTGGGAGAGGAGGGACAGCACGAAAAGTGGTGGGTGCAAAGGAAGCAAGTGGCCAGGGCAAATAGCTTCATCCGGGTAGAAAGCGCATGGATGATTTCTGTTGGAAGTCACGGTCTCCAATGCGGATTTGAACAGGATGCTCTGTTCAATCTTTGGGGCCAGCTAACCAGCTGGTCATTAGCCAATGCTCTACCAAAGGGGAGTTATCTTCCATTGTGTGTGTCTGTGTGTCTGTGTGTCTGTGTGTTCAGCAGCTCAAAAAGGGCAGTTCTGAAAAACCCACTGAAACAGGCTCACATTTTGAACCGGCAATGGACCTTTGCCGTCCAGAAAGTGACCACAAAAATCACTGGCCGTGCTTTAGAAACTGCAGGGTCAACGCATTCTTCTCGGGGGTTTTTCAGGTTGGCTCTCCTGGTTGACGAGCAGCCGGAAATGCTCGCGGCCCGTCTCCCCGAGGCGGACCAGGGCCCGGTACTCGCCAAGGACCTGCTTCTCCATCTCTTGCATGCTGGTAAAGGCATCCCACGAGCCAGCGATATAGATCTGATCACTGGCATGAGGTCCTGCCCGAAACGAATCGAGCAAAGTTGGGAAAGCACAGTTGAAGCGGCAAGCTTACAGATCAAGCCTGTTAGTCTTGAATTGAGAAACTCTGACTCAAAGAGGGCCGTCACAGCCAGTTCCGCAGCATAGAGCCATCATGTCCGAGTGCTGTCTGAAAGATTCTGAGGGAGTTCATATTCGTACCATTTGCCGTTTGCCGTTTGTGGAGTGCAAATGGACAAATCTTGGGTCAAACCGCCCGTGATTAGGTCATGACTTCTGGAAATGGTTCAAACGAGGGACTTCTCCCCCGACCCCACTCAACCAGGAACACAGATGAGACTGAGTCTGGAAGTGCTTCCTAGTCGACGTGACCAACTCAATAGCGTACATCGTAAACTACTTGACCACACAGAAGCCATCTCCCCATCTCCCACACCCCACTGGCCCACTCATCTCTCCTGGATGACCATAGTGGAAGACTCGGTCATAGAAGAGCTGCCTCTGCAGCACCCAGACACCTGTGTCCAGCAGCTCCGTCTTCTTGGCGCCCTTCACACAGCGGCCCCACAGGTCGCCACGCGCATTGGTGCCACCGAAGCCGAAGGAGGACACGCCACTGATGCCACTCTTCACCCCGTAGTCCGAGAGCTCCTGGGCGCTCCGGGTTCGCTGGCGTTCACTCCCGGTTCGCAAAGCAAAAGATCACCAGCACCTCTCTGTCACCACCAGAAGAAAAAAGGCAAAATAAACCTATCAAACTCACTCTGGGTGAAACAGCAATTGAAAACTCTGTGCTTGACGTAGAACTGGGGGAAGCCACGTACTGCCTTCGCAGACTCACAGAACTCTTGCCAGTGGAGATGTGACGCACACAAACCTTCATCACACTCTCATCTTCACCATGGCTCATTGGCGAAGTAGACTGGATAGCCATTGGTGTCCATGTGAGGATTCAGCAATCGCAGGTGGTTGTTGGCTGGACAGGTGCTGCTGTTCAAGATATTCACGCACCTGAGCATTTTCAGCCCGACAGGTGAGGTTCTCTAATTTCAAAATCACTTCGGAGATGATCTCTTTGGTGGGATGATCAAGATTGGTTCCCCGAAAATCACCAGTTCAGAAACTTGTGTCAGTCGATCAAGCTCAAATCAGGGGTTACCCTCAGTCAGCTCCTCCCCATCCGACCAGCGACACCTAGACCTTCAGGCTGACAAGGCAACACTGCAAACAAGTAACTTCGCCTGGAATTTTAGTTGTCAAGTTGTCTATTTCATATTTATATATATATATATTTATACACATTTACATATATTTCAAGTAGTGAGTCCAAGTTGACCCAGTCATCATAAAAAAGGTTAAGTTTCCAACTCAACCGAGAAAGTATTTCAGAGAGCCAGCTCTCAAAACAAACAAAGAGCTGCTCCGCACACGCTTGGCACCGCTTGGCCAAGGCACTTCAACACACCTGCCATCCCGGCGGACGCCTCCAAGTGCCCCAGATTCGTCTTGGCACTGGTGTTCAAGATCGGGTTGGGCCGGTCCTTGTGTCACGCCCCAACACCGAGAGAAACGGAGAAGCGCCAACGACCCACTTGTTCACGCATCCTCCCCCACGAGCTCTTCTCAAAAAATAGCGCCTTCGAACCGCTACATATATATATATATATGAAGAACCACGCCGTGTCTTCTGCGGTTTCGCACCTGCATCACCATGCGCAATGCACTGACCTCAATGGGATCTCCCAAGGCAGTGCCAGTGCCATGGCACTCCGCCACATTGATCTCACTGGCGCTGAGCTTGGATTCCAACATGGACGTCCTGTGGTGAAATGGTCGACGCAAAGAGAAGTGCGGGGAAATGGTCAGACTTGGTCCAATTGAAAAAAAAAACTTATCAATGGTGTTTGGTCATGTTTAGACACACAATTGTTTCATGTTGGACAGGACTGGAACGAATCAGTAGTATGCTACCCCTTCAACAATCAAGATGCAAACAATGTCTAAGGCACCAAAGCATGCTGGAGATTCAATCAGGATCCGCGGAAGGATGTAGCTTGGACTCTTTGAATGGATGATCTACACACAACCTAATTGCTCTGGTCTTTATAAACAAGTTCTACCATGCTGTCCCGATGTGTTCTCCTCCAACACGTGAGTCTTCCTCCGCGAGTCCCCTTACGAACCGCAGGTGGGTTTAGGGTGTCACCCAGTTCCCGGTCCTGATGCATTGTTGCTGTGAGGGGCCGTTGGGCGCAGTCATGCTGGCCGATCGCCCATCTTGATTCACTGCACTGCCAATCAGTGATGCCAAGCACTCCTGTTGTGAGAGGTGGCTTAGGTAAAATCCATCTATATATATATATATATATAACAGAATAAAACCAAGAACCAAACTTGGTTCGAACATCCATCCGTTGGGATGGTTTGCGGACCGCCTGGCTATTCAATGGAGTTTTGTGTCGTCACTGCATACACAGGCATGCATTTGCCAGCTTCTCGAAGTTTACCACCCCTTCCACCTTCAAAACGGCAAGTCCGGCCACTTTCCTCGCCCCATCCGTCCACGGAATGCACATGATGTCCCACTCAGCAGATCCGGTCCCCTGACCGGATGGACCTGCGCTTCACTCTCGGCGGGGCCCATCTTCAGCACCAGTGAGCCGCAGCCCTCCCCGCGAGCATAGCCGTCCGCCCCGCTGTCGAAGGTGAAGCACCGGCCCCGGGGCGACAACATATGAGGCCCCGAGTATTGAATGTACCTCCCGCCAGCGAGAGAAGTAGGATTGAGATTCTTTGGGGTACAGCGAAAGAAGGTACAATTACACTGGATTCATCCATGGATGGAAGTGGATGGGATGGCATGGCCCCGAGTTCAAACCGTGATGATTCATTGGGATCCGATTTCGGGGGTTGTGTGTGTGTGTGGACATGGTCCAATCTTTGGTCCCGAAAGAGACCTCCTGTGGGCCCTGTCGGATCCCGCTTTCAGCGAACAACGCCCGGCATCCACGTCGAAGCCATGGCAATTCACGTAAAGAGACCAAGGAACATCCGAGGCGACAGGAGCAGGTTGCAGCCCTGTGCCAAGGCCGTCTTGATGTGTGGGAGGATACCTCGAACGTCGCGAAGTCTAAGACTGGTTGAGAAACCGGTCAGAAGGAGAAGTCTGACGATGGAAACACGTGCCCAAGGACTCCAAACCTATGCTTTGGCACCTCTGCTTAGCTCACCCCTGAGATGTATCCAAACTTCACAAGGCTTCAGAACCCCACGCTCCACCAAGATCCATCTCCCACCCAGAGCACCCAGGAGCTTTTCCTGATGCTTTGGCATTTTAGAATTTCATTTTCCGCTTTCCATCTGACTCAGTGCGAACTTTGCGTTCTTCTTGTGTGCGAACTCGTGAAAAAAGACTCCACCCAAGGACCACACCCAGTGGCCCCTCTTCCCTCTTCGACCAACGGGCCCCACCTGGGTCCACTTGCTCAGGCATGGCCTTCCGCAGCGCCGTGTGAGCCATTCCGATGGCCACCAACGAGGAGGAGCAGGCCGTGTCCATCGTCATCGTCGGCCCACGCAAGCCTGGATACTTCGGCTCCACTGACGGATCCTTTCCACTGGGGGTTTGTTTGGTGCTTCTACACGACTCAGTTCTGAACATCTATATTATATACAGTATCTACATGTATCTACACTACACTCTCTGAAACAATCATGGAAGTGGAAAGTGGAAAACCGCCTGTTTGTAGAGGAGAATGGTGATCCAAAAAAGCCATTCTCCACTTCCATACTTCAGGGAGTGCATGCTTCCTGCACTTCACCCAAAATCTACGCTTCCCCTTCACCCTGATGCCACTACCACAACAGTGCCACTGGTGTCACCCTCACGGCTCGACCAAGGAGCCCAGCACATGCGCCAGTCGCGCGGCTCCGATGCTTTGGGCGGAGCCCAAGCATCTCTGAGGCCCCACCACCTGGCGCAAACGGCGCAGCATGGCACCAGGAGACCGACCCGTTGACCTACCTGGTGTCGTGAAGCCGGCTTACATGGTAGGGTCCCAGGTCTCCAGGTGAAAGCTTCCACAGTGCTCAAAGAATGACATCAGAACTTTGCACCCGAATGAGTGGTGTTGAGAGCCCTTTGGGCTTGTGTATACATAAATTGGGATAGTCTGAGTTCAAGTCTGAGTGAAGCATATAGAACAACCAATCAGAAGGCTGCTCAGACCCCGATGTCCGGCACCGAATGCTGGTGTCCCGCAACGAACTGAGTGAAACCCTTTCTAGAAGTAGACAAGGGGATCGTCGTCTTCGTGCTATGATCGAAAGGTGAACGGGCACACAGGGCTTCCTAAACACTGTCCCATGCAAACAGTTCCATTCTTGGGTGAATCACTACTTGACCCACCACATCAATGAGGTCTTCCAAATGCAGACCCAAGTTCCTCACCTGCAACGCCCGCTTTCCACTCTCCAGCACTCGGCCTTGCCAAAGAGCTGGGGCCAGTCGCATCCGGAGTCGCCCAAGAAGACGCCACACGCCAAGTTGCGGGCGCCCGCTCGGTTGACGCCGGAGCCACGCAAGGCCTCGTAGCCCGTCTGCAGGAGCAAGCGCTGCGCCGGCGACATGATGCCCGCCTCGGAAGGAGCGGAAAGAAGCAGGGGACGTCGAAGCTGAAGTGTTGACGGAAATGTTCGGAAGCATCCGGAATGGGAGCCATAGAACAATGAAGATGTGGTATGTTCAAATCAAATATCTGGTCTTGTTAGTTATATAGATATATATTATGTGCATATATATATATATATGTCAATGATTGATGGGTCAATTCCAGAGAAAATGAAGTTTTTGGCGTTGGCCCAGTTAGAAGGTAGGGATTCCCCAAAGCACATCAGAACAAAACACAGAACAGGACCTGCCTACCCTCCAACAAGTGTGCTTATGGGTGCTGCTACGTGCTACGGGACAGCCAATTGCAGGTTTTTGCTATGTCAGATCACGAACCTTCTGCGCTTGTTCTCGCCTCCGTTTCGGAAATCTGAAAGAACTCATTGTCGAACCTGAGCTGCGGGTCCAAAGGGGTGGTGAGGAAGGATCGAGGCCACATACGTTGCAAGGAGAAATTGGGCTTTTTGGAAACAAATCAGGAGACTTGTCAACATGGGGTTTTCACATCCGTTTCAAGTCTCAACGTAACCGCAGCTTCTACCACGTCGCTTGGAACAAGTGGTTGACATGGGTCCCAAAACACTCCGTTGAAAAAGACCCGAAAGACTTCAAAAAAAGCCTTTTCAGGATTGCCTTATCTGGGTTTAGGGAGTTTAGGGCTTGGGCTTCTACCTCATAGTACTCCTTTTCTTGTACCGAACTCGGCATGATGATGTTCCTCAGTCCAGGTGACATGATGACGTCCTCATCATTGCAAAAGCCTCCATGAATCGCATAGGTGAAACCCTCCTTCTCTTCGGAGGAATAGTACAGCGCAGCATCCCAACGGGTCACCGGCACCGGCACCAAGCCATCATTGGAGACCGTGGACACCGCCCAGTAGCCACTTTGCCCCTGCGCATTCCCAGGGTAGTGACATGCCATGGACCTCACCATCACTTGATGGTCATTCATCAGCTGTGATGGCACGGTGACGACCCTCAAGTCCCGGGTGTTGGGTACCTGGGACTGGGTCACCAGCTGCACTTGAAGGGCAGCACCACTTTTGCCACAGGCCCGGTAGCTGTACGAAAAGAGGTCCTGTTGAGAAGACGAGAGTCACCAGGAGTCCAAACGCACCAAAATTCCAAAATTGGAAGGAACATCGATTAAAAATTAAAAGTGAAATAGAAGACCCGAGGAGAGCGAAGCGACGGCGATTTGGAAAGGGTTTGATGGTATTTGGGATGGCATTTGGGGAGCATTTCGCTCAACGACCACTCACTTGAGCTCTTGAAACCACTCACTTGAGCTCTTCCTCTTTTGTGGAATGAACACAGTGTCCTGACGGAAGACCAAGAGCCGGTTGCAGGGCAGAATCATCTGCGTTCTCTCGGCCAAGCGTGGATCGAAGGGTTCCAGGATGATCTCTGTACCCTCTGCATCTAACAGGAGCATCACACACAATTTCCTGAGTCGGCCAGGAAGAAGTAGACAGTAGACATGATTCTTGCTGTTGGGGGAAGATCAAAGCATGAAGAACTCAACCACCTGAAACAAAAAGAGTCAAGTTCAGAAGTTATATCTGCCAGCTGTCCGGTTCTCCAAGAAGTCGATGTGTCCCAGCACCTTGCCATCCTCATAGTTTCTCTGTGACAAGGGGAAGGGCCGATAGGAACTCTCCTCGCTCTTGCTGTCAATGGGTAGCCGAGCTGTGACCCTAGAGCAGCCCCACAGCGTAAACCCGAGCCTGGAGGACACGTAGGGCTCCATGGCCGCAGACACCGAGTGCAGGAGGGCAGCTGGGCCCTTGAGCCCCTCGGGCACCGCGCGTGGCACCGCGCCCTCCTCGGACTCGGTGGCCAGCTCTTTTTGGAGGATCCGAGCACTGGCGTCGAGAAAGGCATACTTGGAGCTGTTCCGCCGACCCAGGTAGGCTGCTTCGAACTCCTGGCCGGTCCAGGTCGTGTATTGAGTCATGCGAGTCCGATGTCAAATACGATGGTAGAAACCCTGTGATGCCAGATGTGGCTTGATCTGGCTTGAGGCTGACTGTGGGAATAGCCCCACTAGCCACACACACCAAATCCAAAGCAGACTCCTTCTTGGGCAAGGCCCAGCCAATCAGGTTGTAGCAGTCATCCACAGCCTCTGTGAGCTCCTGCGGCGCAAGACCCGCACGGGAACGTCGGAAGCAGCTCGGGAACGTCGGAAGGGCCGACCAGATCGATGCATAATGGTTGCATCTATTGTATGTGGAAAAAAAATATCAAGGCAAATTATGTGTGCCACCTAGTCGAGATCAATGAGTTATGTGTACTACCTAGTCAAGATCAATGAGCTTGCAACACAGGGCCTTTGAAGCTGAAGTCACCTGGAGACTTCTTCGCTGTGTGTGTGTGAACTCAGGAGGCCAGGGAGGTAGAGGGTTCTGGTTCCTGAAAAGATTGTGGATTGCCATATTTAGCGTGTTGTGGACTCCGCAGAGTTCCTCCTTGGTCAAGAAGGTCTCCACCACGCAGTACCCCTTCCGCGCCAAAGCTTCCACAAGTCGCAGCCCAAAAGAACGGCCTGGATTTGTCGTCACGGATTTTCGTCGCGGACGGTCAGGAACACCCCAAAATAACCTGGTTAAAGGCTCTTTCTGGGATTGAAGACGAGAAACAGACGAGATCATGGATTGAAGAAAACATTCTCCCATTCTGTTGGCCGGTCCAGGAGGTGAACGCCGCACTGGTGTGTGACACAAAAAGATAAAAAGGATCGGAACTGAGTCCTCTCGCAGAAACCCACTCCTTGTTCTGAGGTTCCTGGCAACTGATGCACGGTTCCTTGCGACTTAGCATGCAACAGAATGCTGGCCTTCCGTGGGTTTTCGACGCAAAAAAACCGACTGCAACAACAAAGACCAGCAAACTGATCGAAGATGATGAGTCCCAACAGGCACCGAGCTTCCAGAGATAACAGTCTGGCCCATCAACTGATGAGTCTTGCAGTTACCGAACTTCTGTCTAAGATCAACTATGCCTGAGATGTTTGTGAAAATGTCATTTTTGCATTCAACCAGTCCACTCTTCTTTGGATCACACTGCAGGGGCTAGACCCCCGGAATGAGAATCTACCCTGAAAGAGCCCATGGCATCCGATGAACAGTTGGACAAAGTTGGACCTCGCCTTCTTCCTCGTCCCGTGGCAAAATCAAGTCGCAAACATCTTCGATGGCCAGCTCCTCTTTGAATCGCAGACATCCCAGGCGACTTTTTGAGCAGATCGGTCATGTAACGGGAAGCTGGCTGATGGTGGTTTACCATAGATAAAGCTCACAGGGCCCCACTCAGTATAAGCTTCCAAAAGCCAAAAGTAAACACATACTGTAGAAAGGATCATGGGAATTAGATGGAATTAGGATCACGGTGTCATTTACCTTGATTCAAAAGGGAAAGCGACCCGCTCCTCTGCGTCCCCCTGCTCCAGTTCAGTCATTCCACTTCAGGCGGAAGGGTCGTGTCGGACGCGTCGGACAGTGCATCTGTCCCGGGTGAACTTTTTGAGTTGTGCTATGCTATGCCGTTGCTGCTTTGAACGCATTCTGTCGTCGGTTCATGGTCCGTTTTCAGCGACATGTTCCGTGTTCTCATTGTCTCGTCCTCTCGTGAAAAACCACGGTGCTCTTTAACAGTTCGTTGAAGAATCCACGATTCCATGATCCACGAGCTGCCAAAAGGGCTGCCAGACACACACGCATGGAAGTCCTAAAAAGCCTGTACTGCGCATGCCCTGGAAGTCCAACACTATCTTCAAATGGGCAAATCTAGATGTTTGTAGTGCAAATCCTTAGTAAAAACCATGCTTCTTCCGGATGACCCGGCTATTGAATGAATGGTGGTTCGAATCCTAGGGCATGTTCCCAAGAATGTAGAGACATTGTTGGCAGGATCTTCGCCGCTGGATCAGCTAGACTTCTTAAATCGGCCCCACTGCCCCAAGACTCCCCTGGATCCGAAAGATGATGGTCTCCAGTAGTTGGTAGTCTAATGAGTTCCAAAAGAATGCATCCAAACCCTTTTGGCTGCAGCTCTCGCCTTCTTCTGCAACAGCATGTGCTGGGACTGCTGCTTCGTGGTCTGAGCATTTAAAAGCCTCGATTGGAAGAGCTGTGGACACCTGTGAGACACTCGTCTCTTCCGCACATGGCCAAAAAGATTCAGGCGGAAAAGCTTGAACCAGCGCAGCCCTTGTCGAAAAGATTCGAAAGGAGAAATTCCGAAACTTGAGTAAGTTCCTCTATTGACCGGGCTTTGCATGGCGTCTATCAATTGGAAGGATACTCCAATGACATATCGGAAACATCTTTTCACCTTTTAAGCAATTGCACTCCTTCTGGTAGGAATGATTTGCTTGACTCCACACGAGCTTGCTTCAAACGTTCTCTTCCACTCCTGGTGCAACGATCTTTTCCACAAAAGGGGCAGCGTTAAGTTCGGAAACTAAAATGTTCGGTTTCGGAAACTCGAAGGTTGGGTTTGGACACTAGCAAGATGCTCTTCATACCGTGTTTCAAACAGGTGCTCACATGCATGGCGCGTCAAAATCCCCAAACCCCAACAAAGAATAGTTTCCGAACCCGTATGTTCTGAACCTACCAAAAATTGTGTCTGAACTCGACCAAAATAGCTTCTGAGAAATCCCCACCGTGGAGAAAAGAATACCTCAAACCCACCTCGGCTCCTTGAAGGTTGGTGTAGTTGCTGGGTGTTGTTGGGGGGGTCCCCCCAAAAGTGGGTGTTGGGTGTGTGCTCCACAAAGGCGTGTCTGGGCCTGGGTCAATTCACCCAGTGCCTGCAATTCTTCACTCCAAGAAAGCAGCAGGATACAACTCATCGTTGGAGGATGTTTCCTTGTGTATCCAATCTGGACAAATCTCCAGGCATTTATCCAAATTCTCTCCCGTCAGAATGGGAGAATCCAGAAACTGGAAGTGGTCCAAGCTTGGTCCAAGTTTTGGATTACAGTATTAGCCCTCACATCAGTTCTGGTTCCCTCCAGCGTCAAACCAGGATCCCCGTACTTCTGCTCCATGAGCCCATGCCGCGTTTGTTCGCGGATCGCTTTGGCCTTGTGCAGAAAGAACGACAGGGTAGTAGCCATACACTTCTTGAAACCAAACTGTGCTGTAGATGGTGGTGTGATAGAATATGATAAAATCAATTTGAGTGAGCTTGTACATTCACCAGCAAAAATAGGAAAATGACCAATCGAACAAGCTGCAAAAACAGGATCGCCGCGAAGTACTCGGCTCTAAGAACAAAGCGGCCAAACAGTGTTGGGTGATTCGTCTTGTCCCACACCGTCATACCCACTTCTGCCTCTTGGTACACCAGCAGTTTTCGGACAAATTCTTAGACTCCCGAACCCTCACTTCACACAAGGACCACATACATGACTCCTGGAACTCTGAGACTGCTCGAAACCACCTGGAGAAGTTCCCGGATGAGCTCTGATCAGCATGAAGAGCCAAGTTTTTGGAAGCGACACACCCCCGTGTTCTCGCACCTTCTCCCTCTGCTGCGCATTCTGCGCCTTACATCCGCACGGGACGGGAAAACGGTCGCTCCCACGTAGAAGATTCGGCCGACGAAACCCCTGCCCGACCTCATGTTCAAGCGAAATCGTACACCACCTGTACCCAAAACCTCTGCAAATCGGGGGGAATCCACTGTGCCCTCTCAGAGAGGCTGTAGGACTCCCATCAGCAGACAAGCGAAGGATCGCTTTTCCACATGGCGAAGTTCGAAGGATCTTCACCCTGTGGAGTTCCACGTCCGAGTCCACAACTCCTCCCAGTATCCACAACGATGGGGACATCCGAAGACCCCCCCCGGACCCGGCCTTTCCTTTCCTGAAAAGAAATACCATCAAACACCACGAAACACACCTTTAAACACGAAGGCCGCGAAGCACAACGGCTCAGTGCCTGGGCGTTCCGAATGGACTCCCACTTTTGCTTGTAAAACTGCTCCTGGTGCCGCTGGGGGCTGAGAGCAAATCCCGAGCATCAGGAAACACCATGTCAGGTGGTGTACTATTGCATCCACTTAGCGGCTACAAGCGTCAAGTACCTGTGCAATTGGTTCGGATAAACCATCTCTAAAGGCGGAATGTCAACATGAGGCTCCTTGTTTCAAAGGATGTTCTTCTGGAAAGTCTACTTAGACTTCCAAGTTTATGGCTCTTCAACGGAGCGTAAAGCATGGGTCAAATTGGCTGCTGGTTAGTAGGGAAATCCAATCTGTCGACGCACAGCCTCCGCTTTCCACCCTATCTCGAGCTCTCTATGCGCGCTTGCACAGCCAAATCTGCACGAAGGAAGTATGAAGAAAAGTCTCCAAGGAATCTTATGTTCGCTTGACATTGTAGGGTGTACTGGCATGGGCATATGGATATCCCTGGATTCAAAC